TTGTTGACCATGACATCAACACAGGTACTCAAAGGTGTTATGACGTATCTTGTATATTCACCTGTAAAGTATTAGGTTTTAGTAGTTTGTGGTAAATTACAGGTGTTTATAAGGCCCTCCAGGCGTTTCTAAGGCCCTACAGGTGTTTGTAAGGCCCTACAGGTGTTTATAAGGCCCTCCAGGTGTTTCTAAGGCCCTTCAGGTGTTTTTAAGGCCCTACAGGTGTTTCTAAGGCCCTTTGTGTGTTTCAAGTTGTTTCTAAAGGCCCCTCAGGTGTTTCTAAGGCCCTTCAGGTGTTTATAAGGGCCTACAGGTGCTTCTAAGGGCCTTCGTGAGTTTCTAAGGGCCTTCAGGTTTTTCCAATGGCCTACAGGTGTTCCTAAGGCCCTTCAGGTATTTCTAAGGCCCTACTGGTGTTTATAAAGACCCTAGGTGTGTTTGTAGAGGCCTTCAGGTGTTTCTAAAGGCCCTTCAGGCATTTCTATGGCCTTTCAGGTGTTTCTATGGCTGTTCAGGTGTTAAATAAGCTACTAAAGTTTCGTTATTCTACGATGGGCCTCGTCCTTAATTAACTCTACAGGTACCAGCTGCCACATGGCATCACAAAAATTGTGACCAAGTCCCAGGCTGCTCATTTGACTTTCTGCACAACATACATATAGTGTTTCTCACTTTTGATCTGTTTTCATTTTTGTATTTCTTTGTGGTTCTTTATTATTATTATTATTATTATTATTATTATTATTATTATTATTACTACTACTACATTTTCGCCCCCCAGGCCCGGATGTGGGTCAGTGACCTGTGCCAGGGTGGGCTAATCCCCGTAAAAAAAGAAGTGTAATGCACACGATACTGACAGTACAGTAGATAACACTGTGTTTTGCCACTTTACACTACGGTTCTCTCAGCAGTGTTACGGTCAGCAAAGACAGTATTCTCGTTTGTCTCTGTCTCATCGTCTTCTCTTAAAGTGCGATTAATGGTATTATCATTTCTTCAGCCATAGAATCATATTGTTAAGAGCTTAGTTTTTTATTTTAGATATTCGTGTAAATAAAAGAAAACGAGTATAAGAAACATTATGAAGAAAATGGACCTTATTTTTAGGGTTGTCTATGCTAACTATGCTATATCGGCTTCACATGTATACAGCGGTGAAGCATAACAGATTATTCACTTGATCATTCGAGACTCAGTCATATCACAATATTGACAGGTCATAGATATATTGATGATCATATGAAGAAAACTCATTACACACTCGGTAATATTCTAGACAAACCAAACAATTATTTAGAGATATTAAAGTGACTCGTATCAATCACCTTAGTTAATGATTTACAGTTTACTTATATTTACTCAGGAGGAAGCAGCCAGGTATACGTGTTTACATATAATCTTTCACCTATGAGACAATCGCTTACACTAAAGCCAAACCACAAGCTCATTGCATGTGTCGTGAGAAAAAACTTATTTACTTTTTTCTTAACAATCTACAAGTTTATTTTCTAAGTACAGTAATATATCTACAGCAACAATATCATAAAAAAGGTGTTTCAGGGTACATACAAATATAATCTGCCTTAAAATCTGTTAAACCTCGTTAAACAAGATCAGAACTGTACCAAAATATAGCATCTCAAGGGGCACTACTCAGTCGAGTGTCCTTACCTGGAACTGGCGGACACCCGCCCCACAAGGTCACAGCTCAAGGTTGAAGAAGCCGCAGGTCCAGAAAACTGTGAGGGCAAACTTTTTCGGAGTGAGAGTTGTGAACTCTAGGAACAATCTACCAGAAAGTGTTGTGACGGCACCGAGTGTGAGCTCTTTCAAGACCAAACTTGGCCAACACTGGAGCAGGTTCAGGTACATTCAGGAGCCGGTGCATGCCCAGTACTTGCCAACAGTGAGTAACAGACAAGTGTCCGATCGCCCAAGTGGCTAACGAGTCGATCAGTGGCGATGAAGATAAAAGTATATTAAACCTCCCTACTGTATTGCCCAAATTTTGACTGCATTATAAAAAACATATATATCCACTAAATATAGTGTGTATGTCTGTATGGTATCTTGGGAATAAATACTACTACTACTTGTACTAGTCATCTTAGTACAGTAATAGACTTCTCTTCTTCTTCTTCTTCTTCATTATTATTATTATTATTATTATAATTATTATTTTTATTACCCAGGTAGACCACCCAGCACTACACAACCTCAGGACAACACGAAGCACTCAGCCGACGCCTACACGAGACAGTAACTGGTAAAAGCTTCCATTACCAGAGAAACTAATGGACATAAACTAGGTCAAGGAAGAGCCCCCAGGGATGAGAAGGTTTTGAGAGATGTATTGTTGTGTGTAGGAGACCTCGCGTAGGAGACCCTGTGTAGGAGACTCCGTGCAAGACTGGTGGCCTCTGAGTGTGTGTATAATACTGGATAGGTAGACATTTTGGTAAGCCATTTTATGTCATTTGAAGATTATTATTCCATCTAGTTTATTTTACCTTTAGATTAACTGGCCTAAACTAACCTAACGTAACCTAACCTTATCTAACCTAACCTAACCTAATTGGGTAAAAAAAATCATGGCAAAATATTAGTTTAGGTAGTGAGAGCACCTGACATCCTTAAGCTGTAAATTAAAGTTCATCCTCTCAGGGGAAATAAGAAAACTTTAGTGAGATAAAAGTTTTAAATTCGTTTGCCTATTTTGTCAGATTTCTTTTTATTTTTGTTGCATGTTTGAGTGGATAATCTTGCAAGAGGGGAACAATGTTGCAGATTTCAATGTTAGGAGAGTCATGGATATTATTGTTATTGTCTTAGATGTATTGTATAGATATGTACAGACTAGTAGAGAGAGAGAGAGAGAAAAGAAGAAAGAGATGGATAGAGACAGAGACAGACAGACAGACAGGTGGAGAAAGTGAGAGATAGGTAGAGAGAAAGTGAGAGGGGGAATGGGAGAAAGACACAAAAGAAAGGCACTTATTGAAATAAAAGTCTCTCTCTCTCTCTCTCTCTCTCTCTCTCTCTCTCTCTCTCTCTCTCTCTCTCTCTCTCTTCCATTCTATCTGCCTGTTTCACACACACACACACACACACACACACACACACACACACACACACACCAGAACCCCAAAATTCCAATGAAAATAAGTGAGTCTTTAACTGCAAAACGATTTGGAGTATTTTTGGGAGACCCAGCGACACGTGGCCGAGTATAAAGGGCAGTTAGTAAACAACGCCAACTACATAATAGCCCTCCAATTGCCCTCGATTGCCCCCTGTTTAAGTTTACGGTCAATGAGTCGTGCGCTGAAGAAATATTCTGAGAGAGGCTGTGGACCGGGTTTGGGGGCAAGTTTTGATGATGTTGGTTTTATTGTTGGGGTTTTGGAGGTTTATTGTTGGTTCATGGCGGTTTAAGGTTGGTTTATGGAGGTTTAGTGTTGGTTTTGGAGGTTTTTTGTTGGTTTATGGAGGTTTAGTGTTGGTTTATGGAGGTTTAAGGTTGGTTATGGAGGTTTTTTGTTGGTTTCTGGAGGCTTAGTGCTGCTTATGGAGGTTTATTGTTGGTTTATGGAGGTTTAGTGTTGGTTTTGGAGGTTTATTGTTGGTTTATGGAGGTTTAGTGTTGGTTTTGGAGGTTTATTGTTGGTTTATGGAGGTTTAGTGTTGGTTTTGGACGTTTAGTGTTGGTTTATGGAGGATTAGTGTTGGTTTTGGATGATTTAGATTTTTTTAAGGATTTTTTTTTGTTTTTTGTTTTTAGGTGAGGATTAGTGTTGGATTTTTGGAGGTTTGGGGGTTTTAGGTTTAATCTAGGTTTTGGGTGAGGTTTTGTTGTTGAGGTTTTATTGGTTTAGTGTTGGTTTTTGTCGGGTTTAGGGTTGTTTTGGGAGGTTGTTATGATAATTTTTAGAGGTTTAATGTTGTTTGTTTCTAGGTTTATATTTTTGGTTTTTGAAGGTTTTGACGATTTTTCGGGTCAGGTTTTATATTGGTTTATCTAATAGTTAAGTCTATAATTCATGATAAAGTACGTTACTGTCTATTTGGCTCTCTCTCTCTCTCTCTCTCTCTCTCTCTCTGATACACACTCTTTCTCTGTCTCTCTCTCTCTCTCTCTCTCTCTCTCTCTCTCTCTCTCTCTCTCTCTCTCTCTCTCTCTCTCTAACACAATAACCTGTTTCTCTATTATCAAATTCTCGCTGAAACATGTGGAGTATAAATTACCATTAATTTATGGACGGTGTTGCAGGTCGTGTACTGTAAAGATGAGAGAGAGAGAGAGAGAGGACAGTACATAGCATATCTTACAACACACAATTACAAAAACAAATACACTGTGTACAAATAAAAACAAAATAACATCACATAACTCACTCCAGAATACATAACCAGACGAGTACGTATACATAGTCAAGAGTACATACCTGAGTACATGGCCAGAGTACATATACAACACGAACATTACCACATATATGACCTTCCCTTATAAGTACGCTGGTTGGGTCTTTTTTTCTACAGGATGAACAGAGGAAAATCAACACACGGGTTATTTGGCCATTGTTATAATTTGTAAAAAAAGATTGAATCATTTTTTGTCACTGTGATTTTAATTGTTATTTTTCCGCATCAAATAATAGGAGAATGTTATTTAAATATTCGTTTTTGTAGGATTTTGGGAAGGGATTTTTTTTTTAAACAGCTTGTGTAGTAGAGAAAGGATAGATGGTCTTGTTTGTCCTGGGTGTAAAACAAGGCAGTGATGGGAGGGAGGGGACGCCACTGCTCCTGGTTCAACGAGATGTAAGTCCGCCCGGGCAGGAAGGCTCTCCCGTTGCCCGTCTATTAAAAATCCTCTTTCACACTCTTCCTATATTTTCCTTGATATATTCTTTGTTTATATAGGATACGAAATATTAGGAGAGAAACAGATGAATCCTTTCAGTATGAGACGTTTTCCCGGGACGCGCTGCCACTCTAGTCACCTGTGTACTCCTTCGCCCGGCAGTTTGTTGTGGACCGGCAGTGCGTAGGGACCTGTGGGGACTATTAACTCTGTCTCGCTGTGAGATAACTTCGAAAATACACTAGTTCATCTACCCTCGCGACCACATCACAAAACGTCCATCAAAAAGGTAAGATATTTCGTTCTTAAAATTATCCCCAGAATTGAGGTCTTATATTTTTTAGTAAGGGTGAAGGATTTCATGAAATTTATCCTGTAGTTCCTTATAGTTTGACATTCAGAACCCAAGTCTAGGGCATTGTATGAGCATCTTATCTTAGCTGTGATGACATAGAGGTTTTGTAAGATCAGACGCGTGATTTGCATATAAGAGAGGAAGAAAGGGGGGAGGAGGAGGAGAAATAAGCAGGGTACCCAGCTTCCTTCTATTATCCCCCGCTGTGTTGTAGGACTTATCTCACAATCGTTGGTAATTTGATCACTATCTGTTTATATTTGACTAAGAAAGATATGAATCAATATTTTTGGTTTACTAATATACGCTTTTATTATTGTTATTATTACTATTTTTTGACAACAACAAAGAAACGAGTGTAACTACCATCATACGTTAAACAACCAATTCCCTCGTGAAGTGAGACCGATTATTGTATCTAGCCTTAAGTCTTACGAAGGGGGATTAAGTATATGTGACTAATTAATTAGAGTCTCAGTGTAATTAATTAAGGTATATATTGTGTTATTAATGAAGGTAGATACTGTGTAATTAAGGTAGTCTCAGTGTAATTAATTAAGGTAGAGTTTCAGTGTAATCAAATAAGGTAGTCTCGCTGTAATTAATTAAGGTAGCGTCTCAGTGTAATTAATTAAAGTAGAGTCTCAGTGTAATTAATTAAGGTAGATACTGTGTAATTAAGGTAGAGTCTGTAACTAATTAGGGTAGAGTCTCAGTGTAATTATTTAAGATTATGTAATTAATTAGCCTCATTAAGGTGTGTTAGGTCAGGTTAACGTGAGGGTGGTTAATCTTCAGGTGATCAAAAATGTGGCAAATGCATAGAGGATTATTTATGGATTCCCTAATGGATCGTTTTCATAACATAACACAACATAGCATAACACTACATAACATAACTCAACAAAACACAACATAACACAACATAACATAAATCCCAGGGGTGTAATTAATCCTCTGTATGATATATTAAACACTGACGAACGCCTGCAGGACATTCCACAGATTAATCAAAATGTTTTAATTACAAAAATCCCCCCCCCCCCCGGGTGATTTCCCTGAAGACTTGGCCGGGGAAAAAATCCTTTATTTAAATCGTCTAATTTCCTTACTAGAATCATGTTAAGTATCTCGGTGTTAATTTGGCTGTGTATATTGGGTCTGGGGTCTATTGGGTCTGTTGGGTCTGGGGTCTATTGGGTCTGGGGTCTATTGGGTCTGTTGGGTCTGGGGTCTATTGGGACTGAGGTCTATTGGGTATGAGGTCTGTTGGGTCTGAGGTCTGGGGTCTGTTGGGTCTGGGGTCTGTGGGTCCTGGGTCTGTGGGACTGAGGGTCTGTGGGACTGAGGTCTGAGGGTCTATTGGGTATGGGGTCTGTTGGGTCTGGGGGTCTGAGGTCTATTGGGACTGAGGGTCTATAAGGACTGGAGCCCATTTGACCATCACCTAGGGGCAGAGGAGGGCCAGTGTAGCCAGCATCCGGCCCTGGACTGGACACATCCTGGGTAGCTGTCATGATCCTCCGGCCACCACCCATCACCACCCACCACCACCCGTTCACCACCCACCACCACCCGTTCACCACCCAACATCACCCATCACCACCCGGCAACTAGTCATCACTACCCGGTCACCACCCATCACCATCCGGCCACCACCCATCACCACTCACCCTACCTGCCCGCCTGACTGGCTTTTATAGTGAATACCTTCCTTCCCCCTCCTCCCTCCTTCCTTCCCTCTCCTCCCTCCTTCCTCCATTCTGTTGGTGCATCTTCCTTCTCTCTTCCTCCTTCTCTATTTCTTCTTCCTGTTCTTCCCCTTTTCCTCTTCCTCCTTTACTCTCTTTATTCTTCTTCTGTTTCTCCTTTCTCTACTCTTCATCTCCTTTTCCTCTTTCAATCGCTGTTCATATCTCTCTCTCTCTCTCTCTCTCTCTCTCTCTCTCTCTCATCGTCTCTTCATGGCATCCTTCAATGTGTCTCTTTTATCTCTCATCTTTCCAACCTCCCTCCTAAAAGTATTTCTCTCTCTCTCTCTCTCTCTCCTCATTGTCATTCTTTCTACCCATTGTCTCTTTCTCTTTCTCTTCCATTGTCTCTCTCTCTCTCTCTCTCTCTCTCTCTCTCTCTCTCTCTCTCCCCCCTCCAGTCTCCTCACTGTCTCGCTGGCGTCCCTGGAGATGGTGATGCATTAGCGATCTTTAAATTAATGGTACAGGAAGCCATCATTCTTGTTCATACATACATACATACATACGTACATACATACATACGTACGTACGTACGTACATACATACGTACATACATACATACATACATACATACATACGTACATACATACATACGTACGTACGTACGTACATACATACGTACATACATACATACATACGTACATACATACATACGTACATACATACATACATACATACATACATACATACATACATCAAGTAATTTACCCCCCTAAAATAATACATTATAAAAAATACTTAACATGACAACTCCATTTTAAACCCAGGACGAGTGTCACCCGTCCAGCTGGGAGAGACTTAGTGCATCCTTGTTTGTCCTACTTTTAAAATTATTTTCTTAGTTAAAAAACAGAAACACAAAATAACCTTAATAGTTCCAGTCACTCGAAAGTTTTATCATAAATTAAGATTAAAATGATATGGAACTTTGAGGAGTTTTATTACGGTGTTATATATCGTTTAAAGGAATGGGTGGAAGTTTAAGGTAGGGAGGGGAGGAGGAATCTAGGGCGGAGGGGAGAAAGGAAGAAATTTAGTGGGGAGGGAGTTTGGGGGGCAAAGAAGGAAGGGAAGGGAGAGGGAAGAAAGAATAGTAGGGGTAGGGGAAGAAAGGAAATGTAGTGGGGGAGAGGAGGGGGGGAGGTAGAGTGGTGTGGGAGGAAGGGGAAAGAAGGGAGTTTAAGGGGAGGGAAGGAAGAGTAATGTGGGAGGGGGGAGAGGATGGAAGGAAGGGGAAGGGAGAAGTTCAGCATTCGAGGTATATTGCTTTTTTAAATCCTCCTTGACGGTCTTGTGAACAGCGACAAAGACGAAATAATATGATGCTGGATCTCTCTCTCTCTCTCTCTCTCTCTCTCTCTCTCTCTCTGGGTGTGTGAGAGCCCCCTCCTAGCTAAGGGTCGAGTCTTGGTGCAATTTTTATGCAATTTTGTCCACCTTTTCATCTTTCAGTTTGTGGCTAGATCAGGGTTGAATAAGGTTAAGTTAGGTTGTGTTAGGTTAGGTTGGTTCAGGTGGAGTTAGGTTATGCTAGGTTAAGTTAGACAGACAGACACGTTCTCACATTGTAATTTAACAAAGCGAAAAGAATCCGTCAGAATATTATGAGAATCTCCGCCCCAAACTTTTTATACCTCGCAATAACCAAGTCATAAGCCGCTCTGACAGACGTATAAGCTTGTCTGTCACCAACTTTAGACCGTGAAGAGTCGTACGGATCTCTGTATTAAATTCTCGTATCCTAGATTTACTGACTGAGAGTTAGTAGTCTTAGAGGTTCGTAATGTGAGTTTTTTTTACCATTTAACCCTCTGATGATGATGAGTTAACCCCTTTTTTATGATGAATTAACCCTTTGCTAACGATAATGACGATGATTTAACCCTTTATCAACTATGATTTAACTCTTCTTGGTTGATGTTTTAACCCTTTGATGATTTAACCCTTTGATGATGACCTAACCTTTTGGCGACGATGATTTAACCCTTTAATTAACCCTTTGACGATGATAGTTTAACCCTTTAAGGACGATTATTTAAACCTTCAGGACTCGGTAACTACAGTAATAAGAACACCAACATCACCAACTACAACATTACCACTGCCACCACCAACAACACCACCAACAACACCACCAATCACCACCACCACCAATCACCACCACCAACATCACCACAAGAAATATGACACCCCCTCCCTCCCCCCAATAAAGCAGGTAAGGAAGGGGGGGGGGGGTGACTGGGTGTGTTGCGTTGCTTAAGACCAGTTTAGAGGCGGGTCAGGAGGGGAACTATCTGAATTTCTCAACGCCATCCTGAAGCCACTTATGACCAGCTGAGGGAGAGGAGGGTAGTGGTGGTGGTAGTGGTAGTGGTGGTAGTGGTGGTGGTAGTAGTAGGGGTGGTGGTAGAACTGGTAGTGGAGGTAGTAGTGGTTGTAGTGTTATTACTGCTGCAGTTTCCATCACTGTTGATGTTACTAATGTGTATTCAGCAGTCCCATAAATAGACGCTGACGGCTGCTACTGTGTGTACTGTGTGTGTACTGTGTGTGTGTGTGTGTACTGTGTGTGTGTACTGTGTGTGTACTGTGTGTGTGTGTGTTTGAGAGAGAGAGAGGGGGAGATTATTGCTTGGAGGGGGAACTTTTATTACTAATGATTAAAATTATAGCTTGCAGGGGGTAATTTAATTGCTTTTATGAGGTAAATTCTTGCTTGCAGGGGGTAAATTAATTGCTTGGAGAGAGGGTAATGGTAGTGCATGTGTCTTCAGTGATTATGTTAGATGCAATTAAGAGGAATCCAAGGCGCTAATGATCATCTGTACAGTCGCCACCATAATTCCCTGGACACTAGTACTACAGTATAAGGTATCTTATTTGTGAGTCATATATGTGATTGGTTTATCGCTGGTGAATGATGATTTTTGATTGGCTTAAGAGGTGGACGCTACTTTTTGATTGGTTTAAGAGATGAACACTACTTTTTGATTGGTTTAAGAGGTGAACGCTGCCTTTTGATTGGTTTAACAGAGGTGAACGTTGCTTTTTGATTGGCTTAAGAGGTGAACGCTGCCTTTTGATTGACTTAACAGGTGAATGCTGCTTTTTGAGTGGTTTAACAGAGGTGAACGTTACTTTTCAATTGGTTTAACAGGTGAACGCTACATTTTGATTGGC